GGGCTCTGCTGGTGGAACCGTTTTTCCACCAGCTGCACCGAACCAGGATGACATCGCGACGCAGCCAGGCATCTTCACACAAGATGTGGCAGCTGGCCCACCACGAGAGTCTGGGATCATGCATGGCTGGTCTTCAGGCAGCTTGACCACCGAGGCTGGCTCGTTGCTGTGAGCCCTCCGGTGCCACCAGCGCTTAGCCTGCAGCCGGGTCAGTTGCAGCCGACCCCCGTGCGAAGTAACGCACCGCTTCCGCAGCTAACCACCCAGCCTTCACCAACCGGACAGCACCTGCAAGCCCCAGCAACTGCTCAGCTGCTGCAGCCTTCGCCAACCGGACAGCACCTGCAAGCCACGACAACTGGTCAGCCGCTTCAGCCTTCGCCAACTGGGCAGCACTTGCCAACTGGACAGCACCCGCAAGCCCGAGCAACTGCTCAGCCGCTTCAGCCTTCGCCAACCGGACAGCACCACCTGACAGCCACAACAGCTGGCCAGCCACTGCAGCCTTCGACAACCGGGCCAGGACAGCACCCGCAAGCCCCAGCACAGCCGCTTCAGCCTTCGCCGACCGGACAGCACTTGCCAACTGGACAGCACCCGCAAGCCCCAGCAGCTGGTCAGCCACTTCAGCCTCCGCCTGCCGGACAGCACTTGCCAACCGGACAGCACCTGCAAGCCCCAGCAGCTGGTCAGCCACTTCAGCCTTCGCCTGCCGGACAGCAGCACCTGCAAGCCCCAGCAGCTGGTCAGCCGCTTCAGCCTTCACCCGCCGGACAGCACTTGCCAACCGGACAGCACCCGCAAGCCCCAGCAGCTGGTCAGCCACTTCAGCTTTCGCCTGCCGGACAGCAGCTCCTGCAAGCCCCAGCAGCTGGTCAGCCGCTTCAGCCTTCACCCGCCGGACAGCACTTGCCAACCGGACAGCACCCGCAAGCCCCAGCAGCTGGTCAGCCACTTCAGCCTCCGCCTGCCGGACAGCACCCGCAAGCCCCAGCAGCTGGTCAGCCACTTCAGCCTCCGCCTGCCGGACAGCAGTTGCCAACCGGACAGCACCCGCAAGCCCAAGCACTTCTGCCGCAGCCGCACACCGTGCCCAACCAGCTGCCGACCCAAGTGCCACTTCTGCCGCAGCCTGCTCAGATCCCCCGTGAATCTGAGCAATCTGGGCTGCAGCCGAGGCAGCTCCAATCGGAGTTCGACGAGGTGTTGTTTGAGAAGGAGCTGGAACAGCAGATGGTGCTCGACAACCTTGCTGAGCAGTTTGCAAACCACAAGCGCAAGTTTACAGCTGACCTCGAGGAAATGGCGCGGCAGAGCCAGGCCGCTCGCCTTCAGCACAACGAATTCCTAAGAGGACTGGATGAGGAATACAATGAGCGGTGCAGGAGGCACAAGTTGGAGCTCATCCGTCTGCAGGATGAGGAAAGGGAGGCAAACGAAAGGGCAAAGGTGGCCAAGACTCGTGCAAGCGACACTGCGGCAGAGACTGCCAGAGGTCTTTTGCAGCAGAAGCTGCAAGCTAAGACGGAGCCGTCTACCCCAAGGGTCAGCCTGGCACAGACTGGCCAGCCTGTGCAGCACCAGCAAACCCTTGGTCAGCCGCTTCAGCCTCTACCTGCCGGACAGCACTTGCCAACCGGACAGCACCAGCAAGCTCCGACAACTGGTCTGCCGCTTCAGCCTTCACCTGCCGGACAGCACCCGCAAGCCCCAGCAACTCAGCCGCTTCAGGTTTCGCCTACCGGACAGCACTTGCCAACTGGACAGCACCCGCAAGCCACCGCAGCCAGCGCCGGCCAGCCTCTGCAGCCTTCAACAACCGGGCAGCACTTGCCAGGACAGCACCCGCCAGCCCCAGCAACTGGTCAGTCGCTGCAGCCTTCGCTTGTTGGACAGCACTTGCCAACTGGACAGCACCTGCAAGCTCAGGCGCTTCAGCCAGCCACAACAGCTGGCCAGCTGCTGCAGCCTTCGCCTGCCGAGCTCCAGCCTACGCCAAGCACCCGCTTCTTCACTCAAGCCATGGGGAACGGCCACCAGCTACAGCCTGCGCCTACCGGACAGCACTTGCCAACCGGACAGCACCACCTGCAAGCCCCAGCAACTGGCCAGCCGCTGCAGCCTTCGCCGACCGGACAGCACTTGCCAACCGGACAGCACCACCCGCAAGCCACAACAGCTGGCCACCCGCTGCAGCCTTTGTCGACCGGACAGCACTTGCCGACCGTACAGCACCACGTGCAAGCCACAACAGCTGGCCAGCCGCTTCAGCTGTCGCCAACCGGCGAGCAAATGGTGCAGGCAAGCCCCACTTCGTTGCCAGCGAGTGCCATGTCAGAGTCGCCTGGCTCCGAGGCTACGGTATCCTCACACGGGGGCCTCGGAAAGGTGTCGAGCTCCACACACCCAGCAGCTTGGCAGTTCCTGTACCGGCTCACGAACACCGTCGACAAGTTCGGCAACAAGAAGTGCAGTGAGGAGATGTGGGAAGCCTGGAGGGAGCCCTCCAAGCGAGACAAGCTCCTTCACGACTTCGTGCACCGTTGCTGGAAGCCGCAGGAGACCCACCAGGAGAACAAGGCAGGTTCCGGATTTGTGCCAACAAGACTCCGAGGGTTAATAGGGTATATGGGTTGATCCTGTAGGGTTATATGTCTACAAAGAGAAAGAGAGAGTTGCTTAAGGGTCGCTGGGCAGGCTATATAGGTACATACAGTTATAAATAAGCTCAGAGCCCTATACCATAAGTTATCGCAAATTGTGTTGTGGATGTCGTGCCTCCATCTGAAGCCCCTTCCTTAAAGCTTCATCCCTATATGGCCTTCAAACCCGAAGCCCCGACGAGCGAGGAGCGTAAATCACAGTTCTAGGAATGTTAGATGTATATCTATATCTATATCTATCTCTATATATATATATATAGTTTTTATAGATTCATTCCTGAAGCTCCTGGTGTCCGAACAACCTTCAAGCCCGAACGCCAACAAACCTTTGAAGGCCAGGCGACATTATCCAACGGAGAGCCCGGTGACAAGAACTGACTATAGCCTGATTTGATTTTCAAGATATTATACTATAAAGGTTTGAATTTATAGTTTGTGTAATTGTGAATGCATATACCGACAGATACAAAAGCTGGTACAAAGGGGTAGACCTGGTTGCCTCAGTATATCTATATAAAGATAGAAGTATGTATATAGATACCTACATATATATATATATATATATATATATATACGTGTGGCCATGTACCAATGTACCATCGCTGCTCTCCTTGGGTACATCCACACCTGCATCTCTCATGAATGGTACCGTAGCATATGTAGTGCACTGATGCTAACCCGTGTGTATGGTCAGCATTCCTATATTTTAACCCGGGCATATACGCTACCCATATATATATATATATATATGTGTGTAATTATGCATATAGATAGATACAGTTAGATAAAAATAGTTTGGTGATGTATATATATATATATATATATATATATATAGGTATGTTTGTGTGTATATGCACGTATAAATATGAATATACATATATAGGTATATATGTATGTGGGTGCGTACATACATACATAAATATATATGTATGCTGAATATGTGTTTATATGTATAAGTTTGTATCTATATGTATATTCAGATGTTTGTTTTTGTTTGTTTACCCAATAAGTAAGTATATTCATATATACTTCTATATATAACCAATTTATCAAAGACTGTCCCGTAATTCACCTGGAGCTCTTAATAAGCAACAATGGTGAAGACCAAGGTGTACCAGTGATATTCACCGCTCTATATATACATACACATATATACCTATGTCTGCATCCCACAGACGCGGCTGGACTGTTTGGTGCGCCTTCGTGCGATGGCGAAGGAGTGGCGCACATGCCTGGTCGGCTATGAGTGGCTGACAGAGCGCGAGATGAGGGAGAACCACAAGTGGGACGAGAGTCTAAGATGGATTATAACACTTGATTTTATAGTGTTGCATATCCAGACATATCAGGTTTCAATTCGATCAACCTCTGGAGCTTGTGGTTCGGGAGGTAACTGGTAACTATATACGAATGGGGTGCATGAAACCGGGTGTATGTAGGATAAACTGTAACAGGTTGTAAATACACTTGACTGTATATATGGTGTGATCAATACGACATTTAGGCTTATATGAAGATTATATGTTTGAGCAAGCTTTGCCACTTGCATTCTAGGGAGGCAACCATGTAGACTTTAAGCGGGTTTGTGATCTTTTCTTGGTCTTTGTATTCGTATGCATGCAAGCATGTATGTATAGATACGTGTGTACAAATGTGTTTCTGTATGCATGCAAGGATCACCATCGCCGGAGCGAAAGAATATTGTCAGAAGAGGAAGCTCTTCAAAAAATGCCTCTATTCCCCCGATCTCAAATTTCTTGTGCAGACGAGCGACAAGGTGGAAACCGGCACATCACGCACGAAGAGCCTCGAGCAAGAACTTGCAGATTCCGGGCTGTGGGATACAGAGTGGTCCGTAGGCGATGTGTTAGGCCTCGATGACGCCACAGAGGGTGCTGGCGAGGGGAACAACAAGCCTACGAAGCTGGTGGAATTCCCTGAACCGGAGGGAAGCGAGACATTGCAAGAGTATCTGGGGCAATACAAAAAAGCAGCTCTCAACAAAAAGGCTGTGCTGAAGTCTACGAAAGAGCGCTTGGTGAAAGACAACGCTGTGGGGCACCAGTGCCTCGACTGGTATGTTCATGCATGCGAGGAGAACCTAAATAAACCCGAAATCAAACCTTGAGGCCTTGCAGCCCTTTATATAAACAAATAAAGCCTTTTCTATAAACCCTAAACTTTACCCTAAACCCTTCACAAACCTTAAAACCGTCAAATGCAACTCAGAACACACCCCTGGGTACAGTTTGGGACTCCATCCAATCGCAAACAACAACATGTCCCTCCCAGACGATTTCAACCCGATCTGTGCCTTATAAACCCGGTGTGCTGCAGGGAGGACCTTCGGTCACTGGAGGAGGTGCAAGGCTTCTCGCCTTATAAGTTTTGCAAATCTGTTTGGCGCTTCAAGGGTTTAGGGTGCACAGGGTTACCGTACAGATTTCAGGTAGCGGGATAATCTTTTCGAGCTAGAACAGGATGCCCGGAACTTTTATGCTACTCACTGCTGAGTGCTTTGTGCACATGATGTGGATGTTCCAGGTTCTATCATGTGGAAGCTGTCAGTCCACTTAAGCCCTGATCCCATAAAGGGCTCCATCTTGAGGAGTGAGATGTTAAAGGGAGGGTCGCAGTATCTCTCTATATAAAGAAATGATTGAAGCTTTATGTGCATGTCTTAGATTCGGGCTTTCAGGTTTGCATCCCGTATGGGTTGCAAGAACTGTCAACATGTAAGGGGTCTGTAGGGTCTATAGGGTAAATAAGCTGGCCCAGTGAAAAGCCCCAAAAGCCCAAACCGATCCCCATCTCGATGCTTGTGGTATGAAGCAGCCCCGAGCTGTGGCACACAGTCTGTGCACTGCTGATGGAATGCATTCTATCTATCTATCTATCTATCCATCTATCTATCTATCTATATATTCAAATAATCTGAGATATACATAACATATATATATATATATACCCAAAGGCCTCAAAGTAGTTCCTTTTAGGGGTTCATATACAGAATCCTCTAAGGTAATCCCAACAAGGAACTACTTTGGGGCCTTTGGGTTGTCTAGGGCGTCGGGTCTTATCAGGATAAGGTCCTTCTGAAGCTTTCATCAAAGCCGTGAGCGGCCCAACCCCTATAAACCTTAAGCCCTATACAACTTATCATCCTATATAATGGTAGAAACCTTTACTTCTTAGCACGCTGAGCCCTCCAACTCGAAACCCCTCCAACACCTTCCTGGAGTGCAGGATTTGTTCCAAGCACATAGTGTTTCCTTTACAGCATCTTCTCGGGAGGAAGGTTTATGCTCTCTCTTGTCGGGATCAACAGTTTATATAGTCTCGAGGTTCAGAGCTTATACGGGTTTGGAAGTTCCGGGTCTTTGTGCAAGGTTTTAAATTACCGTTTTGATGGAGAAGGGTGAATATATATATATATATATATATTGGGCTTGGGGTATATATCACCCTTTATCTACTACTATTACTACTATTATCTCTCCACATCTCTCTCTTCATCCCTCCCTCCCCTTTCTCCTCTATCTCCCTCTGGCCTCCAAAGCCCCCTCACTCTCGCTCTTGTGGCTCTCTCTCTCTCTCTCTCTCTTTCTCTCTGTATATAATTTCTCTCTCTATCCCAAGGCAAGATCTCGGCCCTCTACAGCCAAATCACAGCGCTCGAAGTCACTCCGGAAGGTGCTGAGCTGGGGCCCCACCACTGTTGGACTGCTGTGCATCCATCCTGCGCAAATGCAGTGTAACGACAGAGTGTAGGTTGTTTGGGAGAGCTGCACATGTCCCCAGCTTCTGAGGAAGCGAGCATTTGTGGGGATGTGCAACCAGATCCGACTCGAGCCTCTAGGCTGTTTGCATAGTACACAATTTCAGACATTGTTATTGTTTGGTGGCCAAAATATAGTACATAATTACAAATGTTGTTTATTTACGACTCTATTTTGTATATGTATGATACATACTCAAAGCAAAACTACATTTGGGTGGTTTTTGCCAAGTCTTACGTAAAGCTATGACAGCTATATGGCTATATATCCCAGGTGCATCAACTTCGGCAACAAATTGTCGGTGGTGAAGAAGCTTGGGAAATCTTTTCTGTTTGGGGTGGAATTTACCGCAAGTTTATGGGTTATATATATATATAGGGTTTACGGGGGTTTAGGGTTTATTTAAGAGTTTATATAATATATTAGAAAGGGTTCCTTTTGGGCTTTATAGGGCGAAGACCTACGCACTTCAAGCTGGAGCCTCGATGTATGTCTGTGTGACAAGCCCTGGGCCCACATATATATATATATATACACATATTGTATACGTATATATTAAATGATCTTTAGGATAGGACCTGTATGAATATAAGCTTCGAAAACCTATGTAACCTATAAACCTTATATACTCTCTATATATATATATCGTAGAGATGCCCCTGTATTTTTATGTATACAGTACATAGCCATGCACAGTCGATATATGCAGCCCACATAATCCGCAACCGTAGGATCCCATAAAGCACTGTATGCAAACCTTTGCCTGTACAATCCCCCCGGAACCCAGGACATACTTCGCGAAGGCTGCTCCCAAGGCGAAGGCCGCCAAATCCAAGGCTGCAAAGCCAGCGGAGACGGCAGAGGGAGATTGAACTTCGATGGATTGTGATGCTGATCGACTATGTAGATCCAATATTTTGAAGCCAAGAGGCTGAGGGCCATGTTGAGATTCATAATTTACCAGGCTTCAACCATATGCAAGGCTAGGAACTTGGAGGTCGTGGCACAGCTTGGCTGAGCTACGTCTGGGGACCCATCTACACGACCCTATGCGCTAACGTCCTGGATGCTGTTCCGACAAGACCTTAAATACATTTATATATGCATGCATACAACCACTTGGTGAATGTCTGTTGTGTTGTCCCCAAGACTGGTAGTCAACCCAAAAGCGCTAGCATTAAAGGCCCAGTATGTATATATATACACACACATCTACATACTTATACATATTTCTTGTCTTATGTATCTATCTATATATTTATACTGCTTGTTTATATAACGAAGTATACAGACATACCCTAAGGCCCCAAAGTTGTTCCTTTTTGGGGTTCATATTTAGAATCCTACAGGGTAATCCCAAAAAGGAGCTACTTTGGGGCCCATGGGTAAACCCAATGCCCTAAACCCTACAAGCCCTAAGCCCTGTTGGAATACAAGACCTGAACCATGCTACTTGGGGTCCTCCAGCAGAGCTCGACGGTTTTCCGCTGAGAACCTGGGCAGTGCTCTTAGATGTTCGTGCAATGTTGGGCTATGTTTGGTCATACCGGCATACATGTATATGTACTGTGCTAATGTATGTTGGTATGTCGATGTGGAGTGTGGCAACAATCATTGTTGATTCGGTTTGTTCTTTCGACTTGTGTATATGTATATATCCCTAGCAGGAACAGAGCACTGACGGGCTTGTGTTTCAGTGAGTGTCACGTCAACACTCAAAGGGATGATCTTCGGGATATGTGGCCCTTTCAGGAACGTATAGTTTCCACCGCAGAGCCATACAGTTGTGCCTTTTCCATGAGGATGTTCATTCGTAAACCCTATATGTATGTGTGTATATGCCTATATATATATATATGTATATATGTATATATGTATATATGTATATACACCCCGTTTTAAGCCTTAAGATGAGCTCATGTGTTCCTGAAAGTGCTCATTGGGCACAAACGGGCACATCACAGTCACTGTGATGTGCAATTCGGTAGCAGGGAAAACTGTTCTTATCAGCAGGTCGCCTGAGCAAAAGCTTCTCAGCATAGGTGAAGTCCGAGCCCTCAACACTCGACTGTGCCAACGAATCTATATGCATGGCCTTGCACGTTCATGAAACCCCGAATGCCATAAGCCCTGCTATCTATACATATGTAATCTATAAATAATCCTAGAAACCCTGAGTCTTATATAAAACCCATAAACCCAGAACCCCTGTATTAAGACTGGTATCTTGGGGGAAGTTTATATAGTTTGCGCCAAAGCCTGTCCAAACCCTAAGCTTCTTTATACAGTGTGCGAGGGCTTGCTGACACATGAGTGTTTACCTCAACAGCAGGTAAATGCATTTGTGGAATGTCTTCGACGGCTGAGAACCGCTTGCAGCCTTGGGCCGTTCGACTGTTCTGAGTGCCAAAGACATGTGTGAGTTGTTTGTTGTTGTGCCTTTCCATCTGAGTGGGTGCCTGGAATTTGACCATTCTATATAAATCTGCATTCGTTGATGATCCGCAGGTGCTTATGTACAAGCGCTATCTTCAGATCCTGATGGTGATTGCCTGGGAGCTGTTCTCGATGCCTTCTCGGTGGCTTGTAGAAACCTCGGAACTCTGAAAGCTGAACAGTATATGTGTATACAAGCCATTAAAAACTGTAACATGTAGATATAGCCTCTATATTATCCCCAAACCCTAACTCCTGACATCCTCCACATCCCAACCCCTAAAACCCTAAACCTTATAAACCCCAAATCCTACTCCCTAAAATCCTACACCGAAAACCCCAGACCCGCAACCCTAGAATCCTCAACCTATAAAATCCCCAACCTGCACCCCTAAAATTCGAACCCACGAAGCTTCGAGAAAGCAAATCCTGATGTCATCAGGCAGGCAAGCCTCAAGCCTTCTGAAGTGTTGATAAGTCGATCTTTTACATAGGGCCAAGGGTTGAGGGTTTGGGTTCATAAGTCGATTAATGTACGGGGGGTTTGGCAATATACCCTCTACACCTCAACTAGCCCTGCATAAACCCGAACAAAAAGCGGGAGAGAGAGAGAGGGAGAGATAGACAGAGTTCGGGTAATACTTATTTCGTTTCATGATCCAAGGACACCTCAGCCACGGAAACGGCCAAGTTGGCAGCAGGGGCAGGAAAGGCAAGTGGCTGGACACCCAATTATTCTGAGAAGACCAAGCTACAGCTGCTGGGCAGGGACTACAAGTGGAGTTTTGGTTTTGACCGAAAGCGCCGAAACTTACATCACATTGCAAGAAACCTGGCTTCACGCTTGGGCCAACTGGGGCTCATGCTGGCGATCCCGCCATCCTTTGTCCAGGCTCCTGCCAGTCGCAGCCAATCCGGTAGGGGCAACTTTTATGCTTTCGCTGTGAGAGGTTCAGAGTTCAGACGTGATGGTTTCATGCCAGGCATGCAATGTTTGGAGCTGTTTTGGTGTGCACGACCTTATAACTTGGTTGCACCACTATCTGAGGGAAATCACTTCGATTACTTTCAATCTGCAAAGTTGTGATATTTTGCTCTGAATGAAGGCATCATTCTTGGGATGAAGGCTCGAAGCACTCCTTCTGTTGATATGGTATGGTTCATAAGTTCATAAGTTTCCGATAGTTTCCGATTTGTGTTTACATGGTTTGTTGACGTACCATGGGACCTGTAAGCCCGGTGACCCCTCTCAGACTACTTGTGCTATTATACATACATACATATATCTATACATATATATCGCAGCGAAACATGTTCTCGAGCTTACATAAACATCACCCCAAGAAAGCCAACTCGATCCAACCCCATATAACCCTAAGCTACATAATCGTAAGGAGTTATCCCTCCATAAATAAATATATATATATATATATATGTGTATACATACTATGTTTATATATTCATTGGTTGCTTGTTTACTATCCCTTTATGTGTACATATTTGGGCAAAGCATAAACACCAGGTTGACTACCACCGCAGAAGCTCAATACCAATCGAGTTCTATATATACTCGGCCGATAGACCCTTGGCAGGTGCGCTACTTTCGGAAAGGTGTGATCAAGCACCCCTTCCTCAGCGTCTTCGACTTCGCCAGGTTCCTGCTGGGTTCGAAAGAATATGCTCCGAAGTTGCTTGCGGGGTATGAGTTACATCAGGCTGAGCTTTGGAAAGGATGCTTCAGGAGCTTTTGGCAGTCCTTTCGTGATCTGGAGCCGCAACATGAAGTATTTGAACGCCACAGCACTGCATTGGAGCGGTGTGTGCCTGTGGTTTTCCATGGGGACGAAGGTACTTCCTTTGCCAAGCGAGGCCTGTTTGTATTGTCGTGGACCCCCGTCCTGAGTATCGGAGGCTCTGGCCTAAGCCGATATTTTATGATCAGCCAAATTCCATACAAGTACTATGGTAAACTTGCGAAAGGAAATGAAGCCGGTAACCCGGCTCTCGACTCTATCATGAAAGCTGGCATCGACACTGCGCTGCAAGCCTTTATCCATGGTGTACCATGTGGGGAGGAGAAGGTCTACTTGGTTCCTATTGGTTTGTGTGGGGACCACGTCTTCCATGCGAGCCGATGCTGCAAATATAGTTATAGAACATTATTCTTTTTTGTAAGTATACATGTAGTTTGCACCCAGAAGCTCCATAGTATTTCCTTTCGGGGGTTCATATTTAGAATCCTACAAGGCAAATGCAAAAAGGAACGACTATGGGGCCTCTGGGTACATAGGCCTTGTAACGGATTGACCCTTGAACACTAAAACCCTCGACCCCTACACCCACCATATAAAGCCTATGCAGGCCCTTGAACCCTGCAATCCCTCTCTCTTTCTCTATATATACATATATATACCCCTATACAAACATATAAACCCAGAATGTCTTAACCCTTCTGAGCCCTTGTGTAAACCCGAAGCCCCAACTGTCCTTGGTAAAGCTTACACATCCTTGCGTTTTTGTGAATCACAGGCCCCTACATGTTGTGCGTATATATATATATATATATATAAATACATACGCACAAATACGTTTGTATATATGGAAAATAAATCACCGTACGTCCACTTGCCTACTTGTATGGATACATGCAGGTATATATAGGTATATAGCTATATATGTATATACACATCTATATTTATATATATATGTGCATGTGTATATGTGTATATATATATATATATATGTTATATATATATATATATGTGTATAGAGTTTCACACGCACACACACACACACCATCCATTGAACTATAGGACGATAAATCTGAACGGGCCAGTGCCTCATCGCGAATGCGCTCGCATCCTTCCATGATGCACACCTGCGGAGCTGGGCTATGTGTCTTCTGTATATATTTACATAGTACAATAATAGATGTCGATGTTCCAACATACGTCTATATACATATATATATATACTTATTTATATAAATACATATCATATGAGATATACTATAGAAGGTAAAGAGGAAATTTGCCAAGGTAGAAGTGAGATGATATACATTCCTCTCAGGAAAGCGATGCACCTGACGAGGCACCATGTGAAAAAGGATATTTGCCCGCATTGTGACGCCAACATCACGACTGTCCCGTTTGAGGATATGAGTGCCGATGCAGCCTGGATCAGCACCATCGGCCGGAGCCAACCATGGACAAAGCCACCCGTGTTTGCTGCACTTCCAGGTGGCGACACATCCAGTTTCATAAGGCTGGACACTTTTCACTTGGGTGCACTCGGAGTTGGACAATACCTGGCCCCGTCGGTGCTGGGTGTGCTCATCGCCCAGTTCAAGCACTTTACCCCGGCGGCTAGCAAACAGCGTGACATTGAAAGCAGGCTGGCTGTTGCTCACGAGTTTTTCTTGGCGTTTTGCAATGCCAAGAAGCGATGCCCGCGTGATCTCAAAGATTTCACAAAAAGCAATATGCACTGGCCGGACCAAGCTACATACCCGATGCTGTCTTGCAAAGCTGCAGACACGATTTTGATGCTGGAGTGGCTGGAAGACTATATGGTGAATGTTCCATTGGATCTTTCAGACCGCTTGTTAAAGCTCTGCTCGGATGCTCTGACATCTTACAATGCATTCTTCCGACTTTGCCATCATTCAGAGAGCCGGGTGTGGTGGACAGCTGGCGAAGCTGCCACTGGGTTGATGGCCCTCACAACTTTTTTGAGGTCATACCATGCAGCGGCAGTGGAGTGCTACCAGCGGACACTTGACTGTTGTTTTTTTCTGAACAGGGGCTTATATGTCGGGGTTCCAGCTGTATATATATATATACACATACAGATATACAGATATATACATATATACATTTTTACGTGTATGTATATATATATATATATAAGTGTATATATATATACCTACATATATACATATATACATGTTTTCGTATGTACATATATATACACATATACATATACATATAACATGTATATATATATATATAAAAATATAAATACTTATATATATATATATATATATGTATGTATACACCTTTTTTTAAATAGGGCATGTCTACCTGGTAAGTATGGACCGTATATACAAGCCCTAAACGCCTACCCAAAGGCCCCAAAGCAGTTCCTTTTTGGGGTTCGTATGTAGACTCCTATATAAGGTAATCCCAAAAAGGCACTACTTTGGGGCCTCTGGGTAAATCGCCCGAAACCAAGACGTGATTACCTGAGGCGTTGGAGTTACTTCAATTTCGTCCCAAAGATGCACTACTTGGCCCACGTCGCATTCGATGTTTATGTGCCCCTTTCAAAGGGCAAACCTGTTTACAACCCCAGCCTTTGGGCAACACAAATGGCCGAAGATTATGTGGGGAGCATGTGCAAGATGTCTAGCAATACGAACCCATCCAATGTTGCTCGCCGTGGCATCGACAAGTATCTAGTGAGAGCTAGAAGGGTGTGGCTCAAAGAAGCCGCAGAAAAGCAGGCCAGGGCTGGCTGAGGCATCGTAGTTGTACACATGCACGCATTTATACATGCATGTCATTGTGTCTGAGCCTTGCAGACCTAGCACTGCCTGTGAATGCGAGGAGCGTCCTCCTGTATAGCTGTGTCTGTTTGCGAGACCTGATGATCGGAATGTGGCCTGAGGTAAAGGTCGCCTGTGGCCTTTCATAAACACCTCGGTCCCTCCATGTCACCTTCTAACGCCTGCAAATGCCCAAACACCCCAAGTTTCCCTACCTATATGTTTACTTATCTTTGTCGTATGTGTGCACAAGAAGACATACCTGTCGATGAACCTAGCAGGCAAAGTCTCTGGGCCCATAGGCTGTGTGCGCGTGTCTACATAGAGTCCCAAGAGGCCCTGTTTCGGTGCAACTCCCACCCAAAAGCTAACAACATCTACGCAGTGCATCCCTCTCTGGAAAGCAGATGATCGCAGATGAGTTCAGTAAATGATAACAGTTCTCAAAGGGCCCCACCGATTTCTTGCTTATAACCCCTACCCATAGGCCCCATAGTAGTTCCTTTTCGGAATTACCTTCTATAGGTTTCTAAATATGAACCCAAAAAGGAACTACTATGTGGCCTATGGGTAGACGAAAGCCTCATATATAATTATATATGCCCTAAACGCTGAACCCCTCGAATAAGTAGGGATAAGTGTATACCCAGAGGCCCCAAAGTAGTTTTTTTTGGGGGGTTCGTACATAGAATCCTATAGGGTAATCCCGAAAAGGAACTACTTTGGGGCCTCTGGGTAGCGTAATTATAAAGAACGACCCGGAAAATTGCTGTTCCCGGCCTCGGGCTCCGATTCCACAGACCAGCATCGTGGTGCACCATTCAGCTTATGTTTGAGTGTTGGCTTGGGTCTGGGCATCAGGTTGTGTGCTCGTAAGACTTGTTAAAGTTTTGAGCTTTGGGAGTGTTCGGGCTTTCGATCGAATATAACGGGGCCTCTTCGTTCGAGATTTGGAGCATTGTTTTCGTTTACGCGCTTCAGTGTGCAAAGTGTCTGTTCGGGTTTGTATGATGAGGGTGCACGCTGAGGGTGAACCTTCTGTGAGTTCGGGGTCTGGGGCTTGTTCGGGCCAGGCTCAGAGTGTTCGGGGTACATACATGTATGTATGTATATATATATATGTATCAATCATATATACTCGTCGATGGTATGTTAAATGTTTATGAAAAATGGCTGAACACGGGGTTTGGGTTATTAGGGACTTAACATACTAATATGCCCACAACCAGCATGTGTAGGTCTTCTTTCAAAGCTTCAGCCATGCTGTGGCAAGAATAGGCAAGCTTCGGGGCTTGTGGAAGTATATTGTTTGGGGTCTATATGTGGCGTTCTTTCATAACTTTCTTCCTCCAAAGCCGAGCAACGAGGCATCTCTTATGTATTCTCGCTCTTTGAAGCATGTACTGCCGAAAACCAAGCTTAAAACCCAATCCTACCCTCTAAGCCCGAAATATTATCTGTAAGTAGGCAGCGAATCCTCAACACACATGTTGGCCCAAAATCCACAACAGCCCACAAAACCGAACCCAAAAAATTTTGCTCCACCCAATTTTTTTTGGGTTCGCTTCGGGACCCCTAAAAGGAACGCTCCAAGGGCCCTTGGGTACACACCAGCAGTGCAGGAGATATCAGCACGTAGCATGACATGCTTTAGGGAGGCGTGGGGGCTTGCGCTTTCAGAACCCTATGCCAGACCCCAAACCCCGAATTCTGAGCCCAGGATTTGTAACCCTAAACCCCTAAACCCGTAAGAAGGCCGAGTCTGTGGGTGCCTTGGCAGCATCAGCGAACCTCCGGAGGGGACACTGAGCAGCTGCGAATTGCTTGAACGCATGGCGACCTCGTTGAGCTTGGTGGGTTTAGGGTTTAGGGTTTAGGGTTTAGGGGGTTCAGATTTTGAGTTGAAGGGGTCAGGTTCTGGGGTCAGGGGTGTCGGGTGTTAGGGTATAGGGCACACGCTTCCAGAGACTCAACAAACAGCCTAGTTAGCGCACCCTGACCAGTCTGCCTTACAATGCCCTGCAACTCAAAACTGAAATTGTCAACCCATAATCTTGCGTGCTCGAGGACTCTCTTCATGGGGCTCGCTGGGTCTACCCTTGGGTTCATCAGACGCATCGTTCATGAATCAGGGCCATGGACCGTGCCATTACATGAGACTTGTGGCTAGCTTGGGGCTTGGCTTGAACTTTCAGGCAGCTAAGTTCGGATCATGACGCATGTAGGAACCTGATCAAGAAACCCTGGGCCTATAACCCCAAAATAGTAGGATTCTATAAGGAACACGAAAGGCCCAAGGTTTCTTAATCAAGTTCCTACATTACCCAACAAGCCCCAGAAAGCGTAAACTGAGAGCCAGCTGTGCTTGTGTGTTCACAGCCGCTCGTCTGAACTGATGTTGCGGGTCTTTGTCAGAGTGAGCTGGGAGTACTATACTGAACTTAGAACCCTAGCAAAAATTACGATTTTAGCTGTTTCTTAGGGGTTATAATCACCAATTTAAAATTAGAAAGTCATTAGCCAGGTCGCCTGAAGCTTGAATTCTCTCTTCTTCAACAACCGGGCCCCCCCGAAATTCAAAGTTTCTAAGATAGAGCTAATATATAAGGCCAAAAAGTCTAAAGTTCCCCCGTTCACTATCTAAGAATTAACACTGATCCACCTTTGCTCATCTCCATTTGGACCACTTAAGAGCTCATGTGGTGACAGTGTGGTGGGGTTAGACGGGGCACTCCCGAACCAAACTCCAGACTCTGAAACGTCTTTGTTGGGCGTGAAAGGCCTGCAGCCAAAGCACACATGCCGCGCGGGTTCCGTGTTCAGTGTATTATGATATTCGTATGTTAAGGTATGAGTATATGCATTAGTATATACTATTTTGGTACATGGACCCTTAGGGCCATCTGTAAAAAACATAATGTCGGCGCCTTAATAGGTAGAATAGGGTTTGGGGGCTTATTAAACTGGACTTAAAACAAGGAACCCCCAAAACCCTATTCTAATTATGAAGGCCCCTATAGTAGATCCACGATGTCCTAACGACGAATTGGTAAGATGGGGAGCCTCAGGACGAAGTCCTACAAACACCCAACTGGCAGCAAGCGCCGAACCCCGAAACCCCAAACACTGAACTAAATCTGAGCATGTGACACACGGGTGCCCGACCTCTGAAAGTCAGCGCCATGGCCGTGTAGGTGGTGCAAGTCGCGGGTACGTGGGTTTAGCATGGTTCGTATTACTCTTACCCTATACAGTAAACCTTGAACCTACCTGAACCCCAAACCTGACAGAGTAAAACCCTAAACCCTATAAACCTTAGAAGGGGCCCCCACCCTGTAATAGTGACTATAAGGATTATGTTAAGGCCCTATTATACTCCTACTATGCCACTATTACAGGGTGGGGGCCCCTTCTAAACCTAAACCCTGACCAGGGAGTTCCTCAGGGTGGGCCCTGGACCGAGCCTGCCTCGCAAACTAACTTGCGGCACTTTTCTTGGTTTGGTGCTGAGGGGTTTCATGTAGGGTTTAGGGTTTATAAAGGTTTAGGGCTTAGGGTTTACCCATAGCTCTAAAAGCCTTGAACCTTCATACCTAGAACAGAAGTTTGAAGGGTTGATAAGGCTTCATATAAAGCTCTACTACTTGCGATGAGGTTTCGGTGTACATCATGGTACAGTACAGTTGCCTAAACCCTGGTACCGCTCAGAGTTCACACCTCTAACCCCGATGCTTGCCTTGCTGACCTTTTGGAGTTTTGAAGAGTGTAGGGATGAGGGTACAGCGTCCATTGTCGATCTCCGTGTGGCGGTGAGTTTGAGCGGGCCGGTGCGCGTGATAATGCACCAGCGAACTCTCGAACTGCACTGAGCCCGAAACCACGAAGCCAACTTCGCGAACCTAACACGCCTCAAACCCCGATAGGCCAGCTTTCGGGCTCCAACATAGAGGCCTTAATAATTAGAATAGGGTTTTGGTGCATATCATACTATAAGCATACAAAGGAAACCACCAAAATAGTAAAGGTGATCATTTAGGCCTCTACAGTAAACCCTAAACCTAAACTGGTTCATTTTTGGGATAGGATTAAACATGTACATTTTTACTCCTCATTGGGTTTAAGTACCCATAAACATGTAAATGTTACCCAACTATGACAAATCTAAACCGAACTCAAAATAGGGGACCCTAATAGTAGTACCTTAAATAGTAGGATCCTGATTGTAAGGACCCCCAAAATATGGTACTGCGGATGGACAAAATCCTGCATGACCTTATATAAGGACCCTAAACGCCCTAAACTATGGGAATTATTGTATATTCCCTATATTGGGTCATGCAGGATATTGTCCATCCACAGTATCATGACGACATGTAGCGCCACCCTGAGGTTTCTGTTGTACAACATCCCAAATGGGAGTTTCCGAAAATAGGGGCCCCAATATGGCACCTTACATAAAAGGATCCTTTTTATAAGGACCCCAAAATTAAGTACCCCTAATTTTCGGAAACTCCCAAATGGGAGCCCAAGCATGAGCACCAAAGCTCTGGGCTCTGGACCCATGGGCTCCATAGCAGTTCATTTTGGGGATTACCTTATCGAATTCTGAATATGAACCCCAAAGAACGACTCAAAAACGAGCTAATTACTATGGAGCCTATGGGTAATTATTACCTGGAACCCCAACGTATGTAGAATAAAAGCCTTTTGTAGGTATTGGGCCATTATTTTATCGTTGAGGGGTTTACGTACACTTAAAACCTAAATCACAAACCTAGGGCGCCATATCCCATATACATGCCCTTATAATGAGCCCAAGCAGGTAGGGATATCCTTGCAACATGCTCATGTCTATGTGTTTTGTGGGTCCCTATGAACCCGCAACCCTAAACTTTCCCCCGGGTTGGGGGTTTCAGGGATTTAAAGCTTAGGAGTTTACGGTTTAGGGTTTTACAGGGCTTAGGGTTTAAGGG